TTTTCTTTTTCTTTTTCCTTAACTGACAATAGAAGCTTATAAGAGTTGTTTCTAATTTTGTTTAGGAAAGTAACAGTCTGATAGTTGTTTAGGAAGGTTTGCCTAGCCACATTGCTTCATTGAAAGCCTAATATGGGAAGCACTTACGGAAACAAGGGGACTTTGGTGTTTGTCTTGTGCCACTTTCAGAGTATTTTCAATGCTATACCCTTAGGGGAAAGTCCCCCTTTGCAGACACTCTGGGAAGGGGCTGCTCCTGCCTAATGGTATTTGCCTCTGCTGCAAGGCTGTGCATATTTGCTGTGCTTTTAGTTGCACTGGCTACRTGGCATCACGTTGGGGAGTCATCATCATGTATTAGGGAGTACCCAAATCCTAGACAGGGAGTATCTAAAAAATATGTGATTGAGTTGATTTCAGGATTGACTGGGGTTATTGCAGATATCCTCAAAGGACTTTATTTGTGRTTGTAGCTATAGCTACAACTTTTGTTAATCTGATTTATCTTTAGAAGATGCAGAGAAAAAGGAGGAATTCCAGGTTAGTCAATGTTTCCAGTCATTGCTGTGTCAAAAAGAGGTTTTTAGGTTGCTGGCTGCAAACTTGTTATTGAGAAAGTTACAAAATATTATCATGTACAGGTTTGCATTTTGATTAATAATTAACTTAGTTGTGGGTTAAGATTGATACCTTTGGCCGTTGAACTGGTATAATCTCTAACAGGGTTGTAAATGTAGTTCAGATGTGTTGACACAGGACCTTTTATTCGAAGACTCTGCCAAACAAAATCTCTGATTGATGGTTTTTCCCTGCATCCTTTTTCTTCACAAAAYGGCCCTTTATAATTGTAATAGTCATGAAGAAATAATACATTTTGTTCCTGTGATATTCATGACAAGAAGTTGTAAGGGAGATTCAGAAATTATCAAAGATGAAGGGCATTTCTCAAAATCTATTCCATCACCAAGTTAAAAAATCTTTTATCTCTGTATTTTTCCTCTATTGACTGTAAACACAATTACTAGAAAGAGTAGTGAGATGAGGGCTTTGTTATGCTCGTGGGCAGAATATGCAAGATATTTAGCATTTTACACTTTCGTGGAAGCCAAGGAGGTTTCAGAGTTACTCGTGACCGATATGCTTACGCTGTCTGTTGAGAAAYTCTTGCTTTTCGTGCCTTGTTATACCTAAAGAAAGGCAGTCAAAGTTSGGGAAAAAAATTGCTTTATCATAACCTCTCATTTTAAGACATCTGTCTTTTTTTTTTCTTTTTAGATTAACTTACACATGAAACTTCATGTGAGAGTCACTATTCAAGTTTTATTCAAAACTAACCTGTAGAATTGGTCCCAATCTTGCTTAAAAGGAATTGCTGTTCAAAGAAATTAAGTCAAAGGGAATGAAACTCCCTAGTTAATATCCTTTTCCAAGCTTTAAGAGAGAAGTCTTAGTTGAGTGTGTTGTCCCTCATCTCAGCTAACTACATATCATTATGTCATACCTTCCTTCTTGCTTGCTGCTATTCCTTTTGCACAAAATATTCTTCTTTTTTTGCCAGTAATTGCATGAAATGTATACGGTTAGTTTGCAAAACTGAAAGAGGTCAAAGTCAACTCTAAAATGCTGCTGCTCTGAGAAGCTGTTTTACTTTACCTGCCGTTACAACAAACAATGCCTTTGTAATGGCCATAGAAGTCTTTGTGCCTAGCTACTTTTACTCTTCCTGACGGTTTCCTCATTTTATTTTTATGTACGAAAGTGATCATAAAAAACGGAGAAGATGAATACAAAAAAATTTAAAAAATATGGAAAGATGTGGTTAATATAACWATGGCTTGTTTATGTCACTTAAGTCACTAGGTTTCGGTCACTAGACTCTCCTTGCTGTRTATTTCCTTTTACTTCCAAATTCGGAAAAAATGATAGTTGTCAACAGGACCTGGAGATACATGGGGCAACTCAGCGCTTCCTTCTGCACCTGTAATCAGCTCTGCTGTTGCACTAGGCTTCATGGCATAATTCTGTAAAATAGAATGTAGCTGCAGAAACTGATTCAAGTGTAGTTTGTTTAACTGTCATGTTGAACTGTTATGTTTAACTGTTTAACTGACTGGAAAGAAACTGACTACAGAGTAGTGCCTACAGGAGCAAGTCTTCTTCAGCACTGATCAAGGATAATGCTCCCAGTACTATTATCAGCACTTATACTTTATTTCTTATTTATTATAAAAACTTAGAAGTATTTGCTTTCCACTGGATGCCACTATATCAGAGGAAAAG